AGAATGGTCTATCCTTTTATTTTATAGAATGGATGAGTGTGAGCAATATCAATTCACATGGTATTATTTTGCACTGTTACTTTTTCTTCCTTTCAAGACTTTTTTGAAAGGGTCACATGTTGGGATTTTTAAACACCAAATCATAGAAATAATTTCCACAATTCTGAGGTTCCATATGGGTTTTTAAAAAGATCTCACAGGTGGAAAAAATGCATTCTTTTCTTTGCAAAACTATGTTTTAACTTCTAACCATTTTCTCCCTTCTTACTAAAAAAGCATTTTAAATAAAAACAGAAATATATGTCTCTACTTACAACCTACAGGCAATTAAAGCAACAACAGTATCCTGACTTGGGAGCAAGGAAAATATCTGAATGCTAAATACTTCCAAGGGAACAGTGTTTGATTTTATTAAAGACAAACACTGCTCATGTACTAATTTAGGCAATAGTTTCCCCTACCCTTTTCTTTTTAAAGATAAGAGACCAATTTCCAGGCATAATATTTCTCTTCTTTTATTGTTGGAAAGATATATGCTGGAGTTTAGTAATCTATTTCCCTTTTGTTATGCACGCAGAGAGCAACAGTCATACAATCAATCTATGTCTGCATACATATGTTTACTTTATTCACATACTTGACTTTGTTTACATATCTGTAGCACCTACTTACTCTCTTCACATCCCACCCCCTCCACAATCTCTTCATTTTCTATTGCTCTGATCAGGTGATGGGGATGAAACTTTTTTGCCTTCACCCTATTAGATATTGTTAAATATTATTGTTCCTTTTGAACTCACCAATTCTTATTACCGGAGAGAGAGCCACTGCTGCAAAGGCCTGAGAGAAACTGAGGCCAAAGCTGCTTCTTTTACAAAGGGCTTGGTTAGGAAAGGGGAGGCTGCAACCTCAGTACAAAGAAAGCCCCAGGCAGAGGCACCAACATCCCGTGAATTTTAATGAAAATCTTATGTTAATGATAAAACAGGGTTGATAAGAAGGTCATCATAAAAGCCGAATAGGCCTTGATTATATTTTAAGAGAAAGACAAGCAGTAAAGGAAACAAGTTCCATAAATATGTACAGAATATATATATCAGTAATACATAGTAAAAGTACTAATAGTGATATCTGTATCTACATATTTATTTAAGCATCTCCTAAAGTATCTACTTGTGGCCCCATTAAAGAGTTCAGAATATACTACTCATTGGTTTGTGTGTACTTTAGTAAGAAAAGCTGTAACTTTTTAATCAATTCAAATTTCTTATAAGACATTGAAAGAGAAAGTGGTTAGTTGACAGGAACCAAGAGATCCAGCATGTTTAAGACTATGGGTTTTGTGCTTGTAGATACATCTCTATAAAATTAGCATGATTTATAAAGAGATATGCCCATGAGTATAAATGCAACATGTGCATATTTCATACACAACACCCAAATGTATGGTGCACCGTGCAACTGTAAATGATTAGGCAATCTGAAAAATGCAAGACATTACATGTGATAATCATTACCTATTAAAATGATTAAATAATTTTGCTTTGTCTAACAAAAAAACTTCAGAGTATGAATTGAGGAGGGTTTTACTGTTGGAGAATTATAGTTAAATGTCTTGTCTATCGCTTGATATGCACCTAAAAAAAAAGGTGAATAAGGCATGTGTCTACATACGAAGCCTTAAAACAACTGCTTTTGATTTAGTACATTACTCCTCAGCCGTCACTACAGGTAACTGTCCCTTATTTTATGGAGAGTCTTGTGATAAAATAATAGAGTTGAAATGGTATGTAGGAGTGGGAGAAGAGTAATAAATTGAACTTTTCCTCCAAATGTCTCTGTATAATCTTTTTTTCTTCCCCTACAACTCAGATAGGAATGGACAGAATTCAGCCTTAGTGGGCAATACTAAGTGGACAATAGTTTACTTGGGTTTCTGGGCCCAGGGAGAGCGCTAAGAACACTTCTTACGTAGAGTTATTTTCCCATTCTTCATCAGGGGAATGGAGGCTCACCTACCAGAAGGGCGCCCTGGTGGGTGTGGGGAAGAAGAAGAGGGATGGTTGCTGCGAGGCGGGAGAACAGCCTCAGCAAAGGTCTGAGCTGTTTCACGAGAGGCAGTTTCAGAGAAGGGTCTATCTCCTGGATTAGAGAGAGACACAATCCTTTCGAAAAACGTTAATAAGATGGCACCTCCAGAAATGAAGCCCCCTGCCCCGCCAGCCTTCCCCACGCCTTTTTCAACTATTTGGGGCGTGTTTTGCGTGAGCGTGGGTAAGGTAACAGGTCACGCTGTGTGTGCAAGTGTATAAAAGGCCAAAAGTCAGAGGGAGAGAATCAAGAATCAAAACAATGACTAATGATTTCCAACCTGAAGCAAAGCAGATGCGTTGCTCACCCGGAACGTGCCTCTGTTTAAACGCTTCACTTCACACACCGCACAATAAAGCCAGGAGACAAAAAACAAAAACACATTTTTTTGGAAAAATGTTTTATTTAAACCTTTTTAATCTTTTACAACAATAAAATATTGCGTCAATATAAACCCCTTGACTAAAACTGTTCACATCAAACATTACAGCGAATTTTCTTTTTGACACCCAACTTATCTTTGAAAGAGTTTCCTTTTAAACACAATGCAGAATTTATTGAAAATAAATAATTGCTGGCAACTGCAATAGGCAATTTGAATAAAATAGTTGAAAAAGCAACTCTTAATGAAAATAGCGTTTATTATACATCAGTTACTAAATGAATAAACTAAATGATCTTTCTTTAAATTAATAACTTCAAAAACGTTTAATATACAAAACTGTACAATTATAAAGTCGGCAGAAATATTTGGGTTAACTCAGGTTTGAACCATAGCGCTTAACTGAAAAGAAAAAAAAAATCAAAAACCGACAAAAATCCCTAACAGTTGTAAAACATGAACTCAATGTGGAAATAAAAGGATCCCAGAACTAAAACCCACTACCAACAGAATGCAGAGGCTTGACCAAAAAAAAGAAAAAAAGGTCTGGGATTTGAATTAACACATGCTCTTAGACCTGCAGCTGGGGGAGACACAGTGTGGTGGACCAGAGGCCAGGCGGCCCATACTAGCCCATCTTCCACAAGGGGCCCTAGGCTTTCTGGTCCTTAGGTAGTTTGAAGCTTTGTCTACTGCAGCTGCGCCTGGAGGCCGGGCCAGGCGGCCAGCCTGGGCTTATAGAGCCCCCAGCCAGGCCTGACAGGCAGCGGCTGGGTGTTGGGTGCTTGGCCGGCACCGCACGTGTGCTCGTTGGGAATGAGGTGTGCCTGTGAACCTGGCGTGTCGACATAAGAGCTAGCAATAAAGCCACAGCAACTGCATATTTTTTGGATCTCTACACAGCCTAGCGAGATTTTTTTGTAGTTTTTGATTTTTGTAAATAGTAATACGATACACACAACTATCTACACACACACTTTTGCACCCGCACGCACGCACCCACGCACAGAGACACATACACACAGAGAGATTAAAAAACAGAAACCCAGCCGCCCGGGCGCTCGCTAGCAAGCTCGTCGTCGCCGTGGGCTTCTACCAGCTGTGCTTGTCGGAGGTGCAGAGACAGCGGTATATACATGGGAAAGGAGGTGGTACGTGGCTAGACCAGAATCCCTGTGACCTTCGCCAATCATTCATTGTCGTGCTGCACAGAGCAGAGAGCGCCTGTCCACCACCCTCTCACCACCCCTCCCCGAACTGGGAGGCGCTGACCCAGTCTGTCGCCAGCGTCTCTGGGTCCTCGTCTCCAGCTAAAGCAATCGCGTGTGAAGGCAAAGTCCTTCGCCTAGAAGGGCCGAGGTGGGGTCGCGCTGGTGGTCTGCCCGGTAAGGCGCGGGGCCCGCGGGGAGCTCCGAGTGCAAGCATTCCAGACCCCGATAGGTGCGGAGCCCTCTCCGCTTCTCAAACCGACCTCTTACGCCCGGCGCCGCCGCCGAATCCTTCTCAGACACCGGGATCTGCGATGTGGAAGCCTGCGCAGGTTCCACAGTTCCGGGAGGGAGAGCAGAAAGCTTCGAAATCGCCTCTCCTATTTCGCGCTAGTTTGCAAACCCAGTCGGCTTGCCTATTCTGCCTGCCCATCCTAGGCACTCTGCCCCCAGAAAAAAATTTTCATATATATATGTATACACATATACATATAATCACCAGTATTATCATCAACAACTCTCTCCGTTGTATCCTCTCCTCTCCTTACAGATTTGGGATGGGGTGGGTGGATGGGTAGGCATCTCTCCCCCTCCTCCTCCCAGCCTCCCCTCCCTTTTCTAAGCAATTAAAAAACCATCAGCTCAATGAAGGAATAATAATAATAGCAATAATAATGTAGAGTGGTCGATTAGATACAAATTATCTCACAAATATTGTGTACAGCTTGTAGTAAAACACCGCAGACATTTAGAAACGCTATAGAAGTTTTAAAAAATGCAAAACTAGTCTATTGTAAAACAGATTTCACCTGAAATACAGCTGCTATAACCAAGGCGCTGAAAGGTTATTCAGAGGCACACATCTGTCTTCCCACCCCCCTCCCCACCACGCCCCCACGTTACCCCACTCTTTGCTCTTCCTAGAGAGGAGCAACCAAACAAATCTTACTCAAAGTAAACAATATGTATTGATCAGCAGAAAAGGTTGGAGGGAACTGTTGCCTGGGTGGCAGGGGATATGAGGTCCCTGTCTGGACTGCTTAATGCAAGTGTGTATCAGCGTTGAAAAGCCTGAATGTGTATGTGAGTGTGTTTCCTTTCTTACTATAAGTTAGAATCCCCTGTTAAAAAAAAAGAAGAAGAAGAAGAAGGAAGAAAGAAAGAAAAAGAAAGAAAGAAAGAAAAAGAAAAAATATAAAGCTTATAGAGAGAGCTGGAGAGATAGAAAAAATAAAGCTAGAGTGAAAAGAAGAGAGTGGGAGAGAAAGAGAAATCCGCGCTGCTCCCAGTGCGGCCGTCGGCTTCCTTGCTTCCTGCAGTCAGAGATCGTGGCAGGACGTGTCTGTTTTCACAGCGTGCGAATAAACCTCATGTGGCTGCTGATCCCCTGGTGGAGTCATTCTTTTCTCTTTCTGTCTTCGATTACAGAACCAGACACGTACCACTTCTTTCTCCAACTGCAGGCTGTCTGCCAGCGAGGAAATCTCCTGTGCGGCAGGCTTGGGACACTTGAGGAAATGCGTCTCCAGTACGCCCTTGACACTCACCTCAATGGAGGTTCTCTTCTTGCGCTTGCGGCCCTGCGCGGCGATCTTGTCAATACTGGTCGGGCTCCCCGTGGACGAATCAGCCTCCTCCAGCCACTTGTTTAGCAGCGGCTTCAGCTTGCACATGTTCTTGAAGCTCAGTTGCAAGGCCTCGAACCTGCAGATGGTGGTCTGCGAGAACACGTTGCCGTAGAGTGTGCCCAGCGCCAGTCCCACGTCGGCCTGCGTGAAGCCCAACTTGATTCTTCTTTGTTTGAACTGTTTGGCGAACTGTTCTAACTCATCCGAGGTTGGTGTCTCCTCGTCCGAGTGGTCCTGGCAGTGGTGCGACCCTAGGTCGCCGTGGTCTGGGGGTTCCCGGAGCACTGGGTGTAGGCTCTGTGCGGAGGCGGAGGCCGGCGGTGGAGTGAGCCCCCCATGCTCCAGCATGCCGCTCACCGTGAAGCCCGGCTGCGAGTACACGTTAAGGGGTTGGCCGCTCGACGTGATGGACGGGTTCGGAGCCGGGCTCGCCCCCCAGGCATTCGGGTGGTTAGTATGCGGAGAGTGGTGGGCGACGTGCGGCGAGCGGTGATGGATGATCGCGCCCAGCTGCAGATCTTCTCGCCCGGGCTTCACGTCCTGCTGGTCCAGAGGGTTGGTGGCCAGTGTGGAGGACCATGGGCCTCCGTCGCTCAGACTGGTCACCCAGTGATGCCCGAGGGGATGCCCATTGCTAGGAACTCCTTGCAAGTAATCACTTTGGAGAAGTTTCTGAGGGTTTCGGAAAGGACTCCCCTGCTGCATGCCCGCAGAGTCCGCATGGACCAGGGAGCTGGAACTGAGAATGCTGTAGGGATTCGAGGCAGCTGTGGCCATGGTCGATGAGGATCCCCTACTAGTTATAATGTGGCAAAGGGAGCAGCTTCAGCCTTTGACATCTATGGTGCGGGGGAGCCAGAGCCGCGAGAGCTAGTTACCGGCACTCGCTGCGGCCAATCGCAGTGCGTCTCGGCCTGGCCAGCCGCAGGCTCAGCCAATGGCAGCGCGGGAGGCCGGGCTAGCTTTACGAATTAGGCTAACGAAGCTCGAGAGTTTCACTGAGACCCAAGCAGGAAGTGAATCAGTCTTTCGACTCCATTGGCCGCCTCTCGCTGAGTGGCGGCAGCTCATTTGGTTAACCCTTTCCCCCTCCCCCCGCCCTCGGACTTCGCGAGTGTTTGTAGTGGAGGGGGAAGGTTAAGAGGGATGTGTTTGTTTCGGGGGATAGAAGGTGCGGCGGCAAACTGGTTTTAAAACTCCTTTTAGATTATTTAAATTAACCTAAATAAAGGAAGAAAAAATATAACCAGTTTAAATGTCATATAGACCTTAGTGGATAAGGATTTTTCTCAGATTCATTTGGCGTTCTTCGATAGGACCCTAGATCTGTAAGAGTGAAAACTATAATTCCAATAAGAGCTATTTCGATTTGTTTTATTTATTTCATTTGATCGTTTATAAGAAACTCGATACCAAGGTCAGAAACCATCTAAGAAAGAGATGCCCGGTTTCATCTGAAAAATTTGATTTAGGGCACAAAAAACTGGAATATTCTGGGAAAGTAAAATCTAATGTGATACTGGCGAAATTCAGTTATTTTGAAGTTTGTCTCCCAATCCAGTTGGTCAGTTGGAAGACTTGCTTTTTATTACTGCTCCATGTCAGCTCCTATCAGTGGCCCACAACTTCTGTCGGAGACAACTCTTGCTGAAGCGGGCAGCCCTCCCTCACACTCACACCAGACGCTCAGCGGACCCTTTCCAAATAGGTACACAGGAGAACATTCACCAATACCGCGCCCGATGCTGTCCCCTAAGAAAATTGTTTTCAACACGCACTTCTCCCCCCACCCCCGTCCCACACAAGTTGAAGAAAATGAAAATCATTTAGTGTGCCCTGGAAACTGAGAGAGAGATGGCGGGCTGTTTTGGCACACACTTCCCTCCCCCTGCCCCCCATCCCCATCAAGCTTCAATTTGCTTTCAGCTTGGGAAGACAGGACTGTTTTTACATTTTGGTTAGAGGAAAGACTTGTACTCCTCCTAAGCTTTTATAAATTAGGGGAGGACAAGTTCTGTGCTCCACAGCCCCACGCAAAGACGTTGCTTGTAAGCAGAGTGGGATGAAATGCAAAGATTTTAGATTTGCTCTAGCTGAGAAAAGGCAACACCAGATACTCAGCACAATCTGTGAAGTTAAAAAATGACCTTTCATTGCATAATTTTGGAGGTAACCTAGCTGCGTAATTATGTTTGCACTTACAGAAGACGGCATCAGAGTTCCCTTATTGGTTTGAAATTCCATTAAATATATTGCAAGAGCTCCTAGGTTAAGCTTGATTTAAATTTGCATACATTTTCATATATTTAGCAGAAATAAAAGAAGGCTTGCAGCTACCAGAAAGTCATTAAGGCATTAGTTTCTCTAAGAAGACAGATCTGAAGAAAATGCAAGAAAATGCGAAAAAAATAAAAACAAGGTGAGCTTATTCTGCCATTCCTTTATATAGCTAAAGAACGTCTATTTCCTGTGAAATGAATAATTTCTTGTGAGAGGACAGAGCAATAGGAGCTTATATTTGTAAATGTAAACTGTGTCTATTAGGCAGGAAAACCTGGCATCTGTTGAGATCTATTTCTTTCTTTCTCTCTCTTAAAAAAAAAATGGATAAACACTAATTATTGTCAGAGGATCATTTGTCGTCTTCCCACTCATCCTTCTCTCTTATTGAAATTGTGATTTTGTTTGCTTGTGTCCTATTGTAAAGGTTTATCTGCTTTTAACTTAGAAATTGATTTTTCCTTTCTCTCTCTCTCTCCTCTTCTCTTTCCACCGAGGAATGTTATTTCTTTACTGCCAACTGTGTGTATCTTCCTTTGCAAAAATGCAATCTCATTTGTGACTGAACTTTTACTTCCTGAAGAAAAAAGAACTTGTTAAAATCAAACAAAAATAAAAGTTTTCATGTGCTCTGTTAAGCTGCCTGTTTGAGGATCCATTTGCCAGTCTGTGTTGGGTCAGTTTAGAGGTCAGAGGGAAACCCGTTGAAGAAACCATATGAGCAAAAAGATCATGATCATTGCCATGTTGTTGGTGGTAGTGTGTTCCCCACCCCCACCATCGCAGCTGCGTTTGGGTGAAAGAGTTGCTAATCTTAGTCTGGCCATTCAGGGCGTTAAGGCAATTATCAATTGATAAGGCTTTTACAGGAAGAAGAAGGGGGTCCTTTTTCAGTTCTGTCTTGCCTGAGTTCTTACAATCAACCTTCCTTTTGCCCATGGCCTCTGCCCTGGGCAACCGATTTTGCCAGCCCCAAAAGTAGTTCAGACCATTTGCCCCGAGGCTTGGGGGTGGGGGGCGGGGGGCGGGAGAGTATCGAAGAGGGGGCTTCTGCTCCCAGAGACAGGTTTTTCACACCCTTATTTTCCAATCTTTTAATGTATGAATAGCTTTTGACAGAAGCATAAACCCATAGTCGTTTGTCTTTTCCTTTCCTTTCTTCTTCCTTCCTTCCTTTCTTTCTCTTCCTCCCTTCCTTCCTCTCTTTCTCTTTCTTTCTGTCTTTCTTTTCTTTTCATTATTTTTGTTTTAAAAATTAGTTCCCATGAATATAGAAACCGCCTATTGAATTTAGGTGCAATCACATCCTCCAGCAGCTGTGATAAAATCTTCTCTTGCACGTGAGGTGTTTTGTTTTTTGATGAAAATATCTGCATACAGTCAAATCTTCTTGCTGTTCTAACTAATCTATTGGAGAGGTTTCCTTCGCCCTCTCCTGTCAGTCTAACTTCCCAAGTGTAACAGATGCCGCTCTCAAGCGCTCCTTTCTGCGGCTTCTCTTTATTCAGTCTCACATATTTCTCCCCATGATCTGGGTTTCCATAGAGAGAGGAATAAAAGGGGGGACCATGGTCACAAATCCCCTGCCCCATGCAAAATAAAAGAGCTTCATTCAATAGAAGACCCCGTCTGGATATGGGAGAAAAATAAGTCCATGTGAAGCTACTGTTGCAAAGAGCTGGTAACTTATTTTTCATAGACTGTGTTTTGCCTTAAACTCAAAGTTGCCACTGGTAAACCTGCTCTCTTGGATAGCTGAACTAAATGCACAGCTTGCTGTTCTCCTCACCGTGATTAGAAAAGCCCACTGCCAGGTTGCCAAGTCCTCAGACCCGATTAGCCCCACGCCCTCTAGAGCTATGGTTTGAATATAATAATAATAGCTACCAGGCTGGAGCAGCTATTCTCTTGGAGAAGAGCCCGACTTAGAAGTGGATGAACTGTAATTTTAGCGAGTCCACACACCTGTCTCCAGCAAGACAGCACAGGTTTCGATTCCTGTGACAGGCCACTACAGAGCACCAATTTCATTCCTCCTTGGGTTGCCTTCACACCCCAATTTGCCCCTCCACCCTACCCATCACTTTGCTTGGTTTCTAAGAGGGAAATTCACTTAATTTCTAAAAGCAAGTCAGATTGGTTTGATTTACTTGTATGTTCATTCATTTATTTGCAACCTGGTGGTTCACAATGGCTCTCCTTCCTCACAAGACTTAAAGATACATAACAACTCATCAGTGTCTTTGCAGACATTCCCCCCACTCACACTTTTCGAAGCAAGGAAGGACTCAGAAAAGAAATAAAGGAGATTGGTGTGGTTCAGGTCACTCCTGTGGAAGCACGCGAGCATGGTTGCAGCTGGGCAGCCTGTGCCCAGGAGCGTTCAGAAAGCGCTCCAGCCATAGGGATTATGCCTCTTGCAGATTTCATATTTGAGTGTAGATTATGAAGCATTCTCATTATCCGTACAAATTGGTTGGGGGGGGCCGGTCTGGGGCTGAGGCTGGTGGGGGTTGGGGAAAGGGTCAGGAAAGAAGCCTAAAAGGTCGGATTTGATTGTGTATAATACAACGTGAAGCTCCAGACGGTAGGACGTGGCCCATAGGCGTGACCTCGAGATGGAAAACTTCACCTTCGACACAAGTTCACTTTGGAATCAGGATGAGTTAGATTGGGCTTGGTAGGGGCAAGTACACATTTTCTTTTTATAACCGGGGAGCTCATAAGGGAAGGGAAACAATTGAACAGCTTCAGAAAGCAGCAGAGTAAGAAGACTTTTTCCTGGTGTCTGTACATTGAGCTCAGGAGACGTTCTCGGTGTGAGACACAGCTGCCCTTCAGAGCACCAGTCCGCTATAGTTCCTCTTATAGTAGTAGCAGTTCTTCCTCCGTCTCCTCCTCCTCCTCCCCCGCCTCCTCAGCCTCCTCTTCTTCTTGGCAAACTGCTTGGGGTAACGTAGGGGCTATCAATATTCTCGGGGAGAATTAAAAAAAAATTAGACGGCATTAGCAGACATTAGCCAATACCGATTCAAGATCAATTAGCTCATTTTTAAGGATCTCTGTTGGTTTTCCTTGAACGTGAGGAAAAGGATCTTTAGAGAAAAGGGTAGAGGGAGGGGGAGGAGTGATAGCATACAGCGAATGCCGCAGCAGACACAGGGTAATTTAAAACATATATTCATCATGAAAAATTTAATACAAATACCCCAATCTTGGAGAACACTTCATTTGCTAGCAAAATCGAGTCAATGGGGAAGTGCTGAGGCATTGTGTTGCTGAGGCCGCCTCCGACAGGGTGGTTAGAGGGTAGACAGGGACAATAGAGACCCTAACTGATGAGGGAAAAGATGCTGGCTCCCACCGCTGCGTTCGCTAGTTCGCGTCGATGCAGTCTGTTTCTCTTCTGAGGTCACTGCTTTCCTTGCCATTGGCATTGTCAGTGAGTGAACTCTGATCTTACAGGGTCCTGGGGAAAGAGCTCTGCGGAGACAGAGCTATTGTACAGGTCTCTGCCTGGCTATCATTTTTCCAGCACCAGGATTTGGGGTGTCTAGGAAT